TTGTACTATATAAATACAAAAATAATATTTTATTCATATTTTTACTTCTAATTTTATTTAAGATTTTTTAATATTTATTCTAATATTGTGTTATTGTTTATTATATACAATATGATTTTAAAATTAAAATTAAAATCACATTGTCTATTTTTTTCTAAACATCTATAATTAATTTCAAGAAAAAGTCAAAAATTTAAATATTGAAGAATTAATATATCAAATTATCAAGATTTTCTCGCCACTTTTTACTTCTGTAATTATTTCTTCCTTGCTTTTTTCTTTCTCTTTTTCTCCATTTATAAAATGTACGCTCTGATTGTACTATTGTATTGGGTACTACTAGAACAAAATGAAATGAATCAAAAGATGACATCAAAGAAAGTCCCAAGTTTTGTAGGATTCGGAGGTCGTTGTCCCTTCTGTTCAAGGTTTTCTGAGTCACGTGTAAGATTCCGGCCACGCTTCGACCAATCTGACCCGAAATATGGCTTCAGTGAATTAATCCGCAACATTCTCCTATCACAGTGTTTCTCATGTTTTTTCGAATGGTGACCTCCTTTTATAATAATCAAATCTGTAATATATTTTTTTACAAATATAATGTTTATATAAAATATAATAGAATTGTAAAATTATAATTAAAATAAAATAAAATAAAATGAAATAAATATAGAATTTCTTACATTAATAATTAATAATTAAATAAAAATAATTATGATGAAATCTCAATTATTCGAAAATCTCTTTGACAACTAGAGTTCAAAAAATAATATTTTTTATTTTATTTCAAATAAACTTAATTAATGAAACATTTTTCAATTTCATTATTTTATTTTAAATATTTTCAACTAAGTACAGCTCTTATTTACAACGATTTATGCATTCTTCTTAGTTACAAAAATCTCGATAAAGTCGAAAAAGACAAGAGTTCTTGTCAGCAATGACAAATCGTCGTTTTATTCATTTTCGAAGATATTTATTTCCTGGAATGCTGATGCTAAATAATGATGGAAATCACGAAGCCGTGGTGAACACATGGTATCAGCTTATTTTACTTATATCCGAAATAACCGGATTTTATTAAAGGAAAGGAATGAATTTTTTTTTTTTTCAAAACGTAATAAATCACGCTGATGATGAAAAATTTACTAAAAATAGCTTCTCCATGAAAACTTTTTATGAAATTAATACAACATCTATATTTTCAATGAACAGATAGAAAATTTGTTGTTTTAACGCAATTAAAATATTAAAATTTTCGAATAAATAATTACCTCATAATCATAATTTAATTTAATCTTCATATATCGAGAGATAAATAATGTTAAATTCTGAAAATAAGATCAAAGATATTATATCTTGTTTCATTGAATTAATTTCTTTAAGTGTATTTTTATAGAAATTTAGCAAAAAAAAAAAAAAAAAATTTGAAATTATTTTACTGAAACTTATACAAATCAAGAAAAAAAATAACTCACCTCACATTTTCCACAATTTTCTCCGTTTAAGGAATCGTTGCACAGGTTTCGCGGAATGGCATCGGTGAACGAGTTCCGTTGCACAACGATCGGGAGAAACAGACGAGTCCTCGAGACGTGTTTTTCTTCTGGCTAAGGCCACCTGTGCAGGGCCCCCAGCCTTCTACTTTACTTTCTTCACGGTTCCGTTAAATACCCGATCGCAAATCCAGGTGCGGAGGTCAACTTGAGCCAGGTTAGGGTTTCGTACGTTTCTCCCCGCTATCCGTGCCTCTGTCACGCATGCATGCGTACTTGAACACAGGTGCTTTTAGCACCGGATCACCTTTTTCTCTGATAAGATGGAACAAATGTAAGTGCGTTCAGATATAATAATTTAACTGTCGATTGTCGAGAAAAGTTAATTTTTCGATTTCGGTCTATTTGATGTATGATAAGAGATTGCGTTATCGCGAAAATAATTCTATTCGTTTTGTATTGAAATTTTGAATATTTTGTTGTGAGTCAAATCATTTTTTCATTTTATCACTTTCAGCGAAATAAAATCGATCCTTAAAATCAATCTTTGGTATTCTATTATTTTTTTAAAATAAAATTTTGAAATGATAAAAAAATTTTAAATATAAATAATTTTAGTGTTCTATTATCTTGTGGAAAAATAATATACGCATAATCAATTATGCTTCATACATTATCGAAATAAAATTTATCTAAATTTTATTAAAATATATTCAAAATAAAATTTTCCCGAATACGAATAAATTTCCTTATAAGACAGCACGTGCAATTTTACTCAACTGAGTATAATAGCTTGAAGAAAATTATTCAGATAATAAGTTTGGAAGAAATAATGATGATTTACGATGATTTACGAATACTTTGTTTTTTAATGTCTTTCGAGTGTTCAAGGTCGATAACCCTAATAATTTAAGTAAAAATATAAAAATGTCAGTTGAGATTTATTTATTAATTACTATTTATTCATTCATTGAAATGCAAATAAAATTTTCGAAATTTGATTTCGAGAATGATTTTTAGTGGACGCTGCAAAGTTGGAACTAATCTTACATGTACAATGAAAAATTGAAAGTAAATAACAATAAAATTAAAGATAAAAATTTTGTTCTATCTTTATATATATTTCTGATTCATATTCGTGTAGATACACACGATAAATACGCTCTTAAGCAATAGAAGTAGATGGACACTTCGAAGAACCGTTTCTCGCACACTTGATACCGCTCGTTCGAGAGTGAAACTAGTTGTTCCAATTTCGATCGAACTTTCCTAAAAGATGCCTTTTTCTTCTCTATAATTTTCTTCCCTTTTTATATTTCTTCTATTTCATCGAAATTAAGTAGAATTTAATTTTTTAAATAACTTTTTTCCATTACTATACTGCAAACTATTCTATTTCTTATAGAAAAAAATATAAATGTACGAAGAGCAAGTTTCCACTTCTTTATGCGTATAACCTAACATAATTTAATCTGTATGTATCTATAATTTTTAATCTTATTCAATTTTTCCATTAAAATTTAAAATAATTATTTTCTTATTTTTATATATATTTCATCTAAAACGCAAATTTCAATTGTTTATAATTTAATAAATAAACCTCGATTAACATTTTTATATACGCAATTTTTATGTTTCGATTTTTACAATCAAAAAGCGTCCAATATTAACACTCTATACGTGCACGATATCTTATTCGATTGTTTTTATCACAATTCTGTGACAATTTTTGAAATGCTCATTTTATAAAAGTTAAGTTTTTCCTAAATCCATTGAGATCTTTCTAACGAAACAATCGCATCGATTTTGTAATCTTTTCGTTATCAAATAAATGCCAATCTTCAAGATTCGACGATAAATAAATGAAATAAAATAAAAGAAATCTTCACCGCGAAAAAATGCATATAACCTATTCCCATAATTCCCATAAATCCGTAAACGAGGAAGAAATATCGAGAGAAGGCGATGGAAATGGAACTGTTCTCAGGATCGAAAAGTACGCAACAAAGATATTTTCGCAAAAAAAAAATCATGAGAATCTTCGTGGCAGCTTTACGATCAAATGAAACGGGAAAGCAAATCTGATGTCGTCATGCTGGTACCCGCTGACTTCCTAGATGGTGTCTCTCTACGTTTATGCTGGCATGATAAACGACGATCGATCGATGAAACGGTTTTCGCTTACCGGTTTTTTTTTTTTTTATCAAAAATTCAATATTTCGGAGAAATTTTCTGTATCTAGCAATGTGTTACATTTTACTATGATAACAACTGCTTCAGAAATGTGATCCTTTTATTCTAGTGAAATTTGATACGATCATTGGCCTGTGCAAAGTGTTAATGTTGATGAAGTGGAATATTTAAAAGAATGATTCTGAAAAAGAAATATATTGCGATATATATTATTACATCGTAATTATATCATTGTCATAATTGTAATTTAAAATAATTTTTGGTAAAAAAGTTTGAAATTTTCTAATAATTTTTAAGATTAAGAAATTACGTTACAATTGATAGAGGAATAGTTGTAAAATCTTATCTGGTTTTTATTTTTAATTAATAATATTGTTATTACTCGAAATATAAATTGAAGTAATTATGATTCAATAATTTTAGATAAGAAAAAAAATAAAAATAAAAATAACTTTTGATCTCGGTCTATTCTATTAAATGCGAAATAATTATTGTTGAATAAATTATTAATAGAAAAACAGATCATTTTGAAAGATTACTTTAAAACCACTTAAGGAACTTGTAATAATTCTTATCGGTCAATCAAATGAGCTATCAGTTGGTTTGCCAGTAGCATAACGAAAAATAATTTCTTTCTTGGATGTTATATATCATTTTTTTAGAATTTTTTTTTCTACATTAATTGCTTTAATTGCAAGCAGTTTTCAATTACTAATTATTTCGTTGCCTAATGATAAAATTTCATGATAAACACTATTTTTCTTCTTCTTAAGATCAAATATTAATTTTAATTCAGTAAATATCCTTTTATTTTTAAAACATGAAACAATTTTCATAAATTATTTATTATAAATGTCTCTCTATATAATTTTGCAATCTCTATATGTTATAATTTTAATTTATCACTACAGAATTTAATCTATTCACGTAGATAGATTGTTGCAATATAATATCATAATTATTGCAATTATATTATATAATTATTCATTCGTATTCGTATTCGTAAAATATCGATAAAAGAACACATATCCTTATATTTTCCTTAATTATTTTTAATATAAGTTTTATTAAAATTTGTGGATTCGTTTTCATATTAATACGAAAAATTAGTCTTATTAATATATATTTTCAAAAAATGATCTTCAGAATAATAGAAAATCTATAAGCCATATAATGCATTCTAACCTCAAAAAAGAAGAAGAAACTCAAAGAAACTTACATTACATCTTAAATTTCAATCTTTTCAAATTTTATCAAAACTATGTTGTATGTTGTAATGCATTTACAAAGTATGCACAATATTAGACTTACTTTTATCGATATGTTTGCTTGCCAATAGTAGATTTCCACGGTGCACATATAAAGACAGCATAAATACGTGAGCAGTATATATATAAGGTGTTCGATTCAAGTTAGTAGAAAATTGTAGAAATAATACTAAAAATTAAAAATAATTAAATATAAAAGATAGTATATAAAGATAGTTTTAAAAAATTAAATATAAAAAAAATTGATATATAAATATGTGTTGAAACTTATTTTTCAAGTAATGAACAATTTAATTTTGCATCAAATAAAATAAAATAAGACAATTATCTTTGTTTTGTTTCGTATTTAGTAGAGAAAAATTTCATACTTAAAATTCTAAGTCTATAACTGTTTATTAATTTATAAAATTAAATAATATAATTATGTTTATTAAAACAATATTTTTTTTAATAAATATGAAATAAAAAAGAATAGAATTAAAAAATTCATTTAATAACAAATAAGTTTCTCTTTTTCTGATTTTGCTCAATAGCATAAGTAAAATTATACGAAATTAGCAATAATAACATTAAAAATAATCGTATGTATGTATCAATTTATTACAATTCACATTTTAAGCTATGTATAAAAAAATAATGTTAGTTCATAAATAATTGTTTGAAATATAATTCTATACTGAATGTAATATTACATACCTCAAGATGCACGAACATAACCTATTGTTTATAAATAAATATAAATACGAAAATAATTTCTGAAATATAATATAAATAGTTACTGATTATGATCTAAATAAAGATAGACAATTTTTTGTCCTAATATATAGTTTTATATAGTTTTATAATTAAATTGATTATAATTTGAAAAATGAACTTCTACAGCATCTTCACATACCACCATATTTGTTTAGTATGTACAATCATTCCTTCAATTTTCTATATCTATTTTTCTACTTCGTCCGAACACCCTATATACGCATGCGCATGTGCGCGCACAACCATGATGTGCCGCTTACATTAAATAAATTACAGTGGCCGCGGACCGGTAACACGGGAACGCTGTTACCTGGTCTCTCCTGGTCGCACATGCGAGCAGAATCGCGCGGCAAAGCGCAAAACACAGGCAAAGTTTCTTGCTACTACCAAGCCAGAGGAAGTTCCTCTAATGGTTTCTTCCCATGACCGTGCTCCACCTTCTTGTCTATCTACGGAATGATTTTCCTGTCGCCGGAAAAATTATTACTCGAACGCGGTGCGAATTACCGTGCCTTTCGCATTGTTCAGGTTAGATCTCTCGTCTTGTTTCCGACTCGTCGCTCTTCCTTTCCTTTCATACCAAACTAGGGATACCGTATAGTATGGATTACACAAAAGCACGTTTATTCGCGTCACGTTTCGATGAGACTGATTTTCCGGAATTCTATAAATTTTCTGCACTAATCGTAAGACTGTCTAAATATATATTAGATTATTCAGAATGGAATAATAAAATTTTTAATGAAACCCGATTGATAAAAAGATTTTGTCTATCAAAATATTACAGGTTAAAATTTGAATATTTAATTAATTGTTATAATTATTTTTTACATTTCATATTTGTGAAAAAAATATTCAATTTTGATAATGATACAATTCATTATAATAAAACGATTTAAAAGAAATAAAAAAATTCTAAGTTTTTTAATATTTAGAATACTCATATTTATACAGCATGATTCGTATAAAATTTCTTAAAATTATTTATTTGTTTTTTAAAACAAAAAGGATCTTATATTCCTACTTTTTCCTATATTATTTCATGTTAAAATGCGTGTTTTAAAAATCTAATAAAGAAATCTCATTACATATTTTCATACGTATAAAACAAAATTATTATTCATTCGTTTAATGCGACGCAAATAAAGTGACACATTTGGGTATGACTGAACTATCCAAGCGTCGCAGAACAGAGATTCATTCGCAGATCTATGCGAATGATTTCTGCCTTTCGAACACGCCACGGGAAAGTATCAAGTTCCAGAAATTTACACGCGTGCCTGCTGCGCGTATATACCTCCATAAGAGAGAAAAAGAAGAGAACTTTGAAGAAACGAAGCGAGAATCGGCGAGTTCTCTCGATTCGTGCACATATGTATTCTGAATCCTGTGGCCCTTCATCTCCCGCTTCAGCTGGTTTTCCTCGATCTTTCTCTCGCCTTGATCTTTCTCTTCTTCTCTTTCTCTTTCTCTTCGTTTTTTCTCTTTCTTGAGTTCTTGAGGTCAGAACCGTGATCACGCCTCACCTTCCCGTTCTTTGGCGTCGTGCATTCATTGGCCTCGCCTCCACACATCTTCTCGAGGTTACGGCGTTCCCCTGCGAAGTTCCACGATGGTTTCGACCTTCCCCGATATAACGCCATAGTTCTCACTGTACCGACTATCGCCATTTCTGAGGAATAGATTGATAATTTTCAGAATTCGTTAAAATTAATATCGATCTCTTTCGATATACAACTTTTTATAAAATATACTTATATAATATGGTTGTGATCAATTATATATAATAATATATTAATATTTGATAATAT